TTCAGCTCAAGGCTAGCACCCTACCACTTAAGCCACAGCACCACTTTGGTTTTTCTGGTGGTTTATTGGAGATAAGAGTCTCACGGACTTTCCTGCCCGGGCTGGCTTTGAACCGCAGTCCTCAGATCTCAGCTTCCTGAGTAGCTAGGATTACAGGCGTGAGCCACCAGTGCCCTCCATGTGAACTTTTTAAATTTTTTTTTCCTTTTTGTCAGTCGTGGGACTTGAACTCTGGGCCTGGGCACTGCCCCTTAGCTCTTCAGCTCAAGGCTAGCACTCTACCACTTGAGCCACAGCACCACTTCCAGTTTTCTGAGTGTTTTATTGGAGATAAGAGTCTCACAGTCTTTCAGTGATTACTGAGTGCCAAAATCTGTTGTTTTAAGGAATTAACAGTACGTTTCCAACTTACTTCCACACAGTGACCGAAGCTGGCTTTGGAGCGGATATTGGAATGGAAAAATTCTTCAACATCAAATGCCGTGCTTCTGGCCTGGTACCCAATGTGGTGGTGCTGGTGGCCACCGTGAGGGCGCTGAAGATGCACGGAGGGGGGCCGAGTGTGAGTCCCATGCCTCCTCCTCCCTAGTAACCAAAACCTGGATAAAAGTTTAGCATGGAGCCAGGCACCTGTGGCTCACGCCTGTAATCCTAGCTACTCAGGAGGCTGAGATCTGAGGATCACAGTTCAAAGCTAGCCCGGGCTAGCTAGAGTCCATGAGACTCTTATCTCCAATAAACCACTACAAAACTCGAAGTGGCATTGTGGCTCAAGCGGTAGAGCCCTCGCCTTGAGCTGAAGAGCTGAGGGACAGCGCCCAGGCCCAGAGTTCAGGCCCCATGACTGACCCCCGCCCCCCAAAAAAAAAAAGTTTAGCGTGGACACACGCATGGCCGCTCAGTGCCAGGGGTTGTGTGTTCTCAGTTCCAGGTTGTGTTAAGATAATGGCAATGCTAAGAAAGGTCTCAACACTGGCTTAAATTAGAATCGCCCGCAGACATCCTGATTTTGCTGGGTGTTGGAAGCCCAGGCAGCAGTGTTTTGTTTTAGTTTTTGTTTTTCCAAAAGCTTCCCATAAGACCCCACCACTACCAACTGCAAATTTCAGGGTAGCATCACTTCTCCAGGGGTGACTGATGTGTGAACTCTGTTCGATTAAAGAAAGTATTTCTGTGGGACTGTTCTTCATTTCTGTTTCTTCTCATTTCAGGTCACTGCTGGTGTCCCTCTAAAGAAAGAATATACAGAGGAGGTAAGAGGAACTGCTCAGCTACTTAGGTGATGAGTTGTTGCAATATCCGTCTTTCGATTCCAGTGGACCATCAGTGGTTTTGCCCTGTGTCTGTGGCCTTGTGCTTATGGGTGGGGTAAGGGAGTAAAAAGTCATTCAATTAATTTTCTCTAACCTTCAGCCTCCCTAGTTCTAGAATTATACCACTGTGTCCAGCTTCTGTGTCTTGTAGTTGGGGTAGGAAAAAAACAAAACCTGATTTGAGGAAGACAGGCACTTAGATAGGCATTAGGACTTGGAAACTCAGCTGTTTACGTAGTGACTTACTAGTAGCAGTACCTGTTAGCTCCTACAGGTGGTGCCAGGGATTTAAGCCAGGAGTAGCTGGACAGGGTCTTTTCACCTTCCCAGGCTCTTGTGCCGTTAGCTTACCAGGCTGCTGGAGAGCTGGCTTCTGTCCTGACAGTGAGTCCTCCCCTCTGAGTGTCCAGGCTTGACACTCAAATATATCCCTGGACCCAGAAGAGTCTTAGTAATTGTTTTGAAGATGACCCACCTCCACTTTTCTTACAGCCATCTTTCTTGAAAACGTTTCTTGAGCTGTCCCTCTTTGAAAATGTTAGGAAATCTCTAAAAACACGCCAGAGTCACAAGGTCAGTTGTTTGGCAGATTTGATGGGAGGCACCAATTAGGGTCTGGTTTCCTTCTAGAACATTCAGCTGGTGGCCGATGGCTGCTGTAACCTGCAGAAGCAAATTCAGATCGCACAGCTCTTTGGTGTTCCAGTTGTGGTGGCGCTGAACGTCTTCAAGTGAGTGAAGCCTGCGGCTTTACGTGGTGTCCTAGTCACCTGCGAACTGCACTATGTCCTGAGGGTAGATGCTCATTACAAGTACCCAGAAGACTCAGCTCTTTCTATTGGCTGGATTTGGTTTCATTTTAGCAAATGTGTTCTCAAAATGTTATGAGGGAAGTGAAATTTATCTAGGGAATTACTGTTCCCTTTGCATTTCTTTTCAATTCCACTCCGTATTTCTGTCTAAAAGACTGGGAATGATCAAAGGGTGATGGTATGGAATTTTCTCGATTTAAAAAAAAAACCTTAACTACTTAAAATATTTGCATGGGGTTGGAGGATTCCTCCTCCACATTGCTCTTTAAGCCTGATTTTATTTAAACAAAATGTGACCACTTCTGATGTCTGAAATTATATTCAGCGTTAGGAGGCGAAGTTCTGTTTAAACGGTTGGTCTTGCTTTAAAAACATAGCTAAGTGAATGCAGATGCAAAACCACAACTGTTTTCATCACCAGAACCGACACCCGTGCCGAGATTGACTTGGTGTGCGAGCTGGCCAAGCGGGCCGGCGCCTTTGATGCGGTCCCCTGCTACCACTGGTCGGCGGGGGGAAAGGGGTCAGTGGACTTGGCCCGGGCTGTGAGAGATGCTGCGAATAAAAGAAGTCGTTTCCAGTTCCTCTATGACGTTCAGGTAAGCTAGAGCCCCGGCCAGCACAGTGGGTGGGTGACCTGCCCATCCTCCATCAGGCCAGCTTTGTCTAGATGGCTCATGCCTTCTAGGCCCCGGCAGAGAAAGAAGCTGGAGATAAAAGGCATCTAGCCATCAGCCAGCATCCCTGTGTCCAGGGCAGACCCTGTCCCATACCCAAGAGCCTGAGTTCTTGTCTGCTCTCAAATGGTCAAGAGAATGCGGGGGAAGGGGGTCATCTCTCTCTACACCACAGGGGTGTACCCCATGCTTCCGGGGGCTCACTGCTCAGGAAAGGGGACCTCAGAGCAATCCCCAAGGCCTCTACAATCACAGAAGTTCCCTTGTTCACCTCTGCTGTGGCTTTTTGCTCTCCTTGTGGTTTTCTTGAGCTATCTTTATATATTTATATTTATTTATGTATGTGTATTTACTTAATCATTGTAATTTTTTCATGTAACATTCAATTTTGTGTGTGTGTGTGTGTGTGTGAGAGAGAGAGAGAGAGAGACAGTCCTGGGCTTGAGCTCAGAGCCTGGGTGCTATCCCTGAGCTGTGGTGCTCAAGGCAAGCACTCTACCACTTGAGCCACAGCTCCATTTCCAACTTTTTTTTGGTGTTTAGTTAGAGATAAGAATCATCAATTTTCCGGAAGTGGTGCTGTAGCTCAAGTGGTAGAGCGCTCGCCTTGAGCTGAAGAGCTGAGGGACAGCGCCCAGGCCCAGAGTTCAAGCCCCACGA